AAGCCTTTGACAGCGTGGATCACAATAAACTATGGAAAATTCTTAAAGAGATAGGAATATCAGACCACCTCACCTGCCTCCTGAGAAACCTGTATGCAGGTCAGGAAGCAACAGTTAGAACTGGACATAAAACAGACTGGTTCCAAATCGGGAAAGGAGTATGTCAAGGCTGTATATTGTCACCCTGCTTATTTAACTTATATGCAGAGTACATCATGTGAAATGCCAGGCTGGATGAAGCACAAGCTGGAATCAAGATTGTCAGGAGAAATATCAATAACCTCAGATATGCAGATGACACCACCCTTATGGCAGAAAGTGAAGAAGAACTAAAGAGCCTCTTGATGAAAGTAAAAGAGGAGAGTGAAAAATTTGGCTTAAAGCTCAACATTCAGAAAACTAAGATCATGGCATCCGGTCCCATCACTTCATGGCAAACAGATGGGGAAACAATGGAAACAGTGTCAGACTTTATATTTTGGAGCTCCCAAATCACTGCAGATGGTGACTGCAGCCATGAAATTAAAAGATGCTTACTCCTTGGAAGGAAAGTTATGACCAACCTAGATAGCATATTAAAAAGCAGAGACATTACTTTGCCAACAAAGGTCCATCTCCTCAAAGCTATGGTTTTTCCAATGGTCATGTATGGATGTGAGAGTTGGACTATAAAGAAAGCTGAGTGCCAAAGAATTGATGGTTTTAAACTGTGGTGTTGGAGAAGACTCTTGAGAGTCCCGTGGACTGCAAGGAGATCCAACCAGTCCATCCTGAAGGAGATCAGTCCTGGGTGTTCATTGGAAGAACTGATGCTGAAGCTGAAACTCCCATACTTTGGCCACCTGATGTGAAGAGCTGACTCATTTGAAAAGACCCTGACGCTGGGAAAGATTGAAGGCGGAGGAGAAGGGGATGACAGAGGATGAGATGGTTGGATGGCATCACCGACTCAATGGACATGAGTTTGGGTAAACTCTGGGAGTTGGTGATGAACAGGAAAGCCTGGTGTGCTGCAATCAATGGGGTCACAAACAGTCGGACACGACTGAGCGACTGAACTGAACTGAAATAAAATAAATGACTTAATTACCCTTAATTCATAAATCACATTACTTATATATTAGCCTATGAAGTGTATAACTTCCTAATTAATTCTCTCTATTCAATGCTTTGTAAAATGTCCTAAATAGAAATATGTGGTTATTTATGAAAGAGAAAAATTCAAGTGGTCAGCTGCCTGTCATCTTGTTGGCTATGACTGTATTTGTGCCACATTATATAAATGTTTATATAAATATTTCTCTTATCTGACATTAAGAAAGAAGGTAATTTGCAGCAGGGATGTTTAAATTTTCCAATTTAAAAAAAGCTAACCATTTTGAGAAATAGTACCCAAAGTTTGCTTTAGTAAACCAAGTATTCTGAGAAAAGTTTAACTTTAATGTGAGGAAGAAAATGAAAATGCAACAGTCACATCCTTAGAGATTGCAGGGGCAAATACAGATGTGTAAGCAGCTCCAGAAATCTGATGTTAGAGTTCTTCTGTTCCCTTGTTAGGTTTTATTTAATCATGAACTATTTCCAACATTTAAAAATTAAAGATAATGGCATAATAGACATGCATGAATTTATCACTCATTTTAAATAATATTAACATATTACAATATTTAAGGAATATTTTTGAAGAGATAATACTTACTTTATATATGCGTTTTTAATATTACTGTTTCTTTAACTTCCTGCTGGCTTTAAACTGGCTTGCCCCAAAGTATTGGGTAAAAGGGACTGAAAATGTGTCCAGCTCTCTTTTAAAGTACATATTTTAAAAAATATACTCAATTCAAAATATAAGAACAAAATATTCTTAAAGTATTAAATAAGCATTTAAAAATACTTGAAATGCTAAATAATAAGAAATGATAACACAGCAATAGTTTTTCAAGCTTTTCTGGTGATAAATTGTTTCAATCTTTTTAGAAAACAAATTGGCAATATGTACCAAATATTCAATATATTGATATCCTTTAACCTAGTGATTCTATCTTCAGAAAAGGTACAAAATATGGAAATATATATATTACAGATGAATATCCTTAACAAATTATAATATAGGGATATATTTTTTAAAAATCCCAAACCCAAACAAAACCAGCTTTGGTATTTAATAGGTGGAGGATATTTAAGCAAATATTTAAGCAAATATTACATAAATGTTGGGCTTCCCTGGTGGCTCAGAGGGTAAAGAATCTGCCTGCAATGCAGAAGACCTGGGTTCAATCCCTGGGTTGGGAAGATCCCTTGGAGAAGGGAAAGGGAACTCACTTCAGTATTCTTGCCTGGAGAATTCCATGGACAGAGGAGCCTGGAGGTCTACAGCCCATGAGTTGCACAGAGTCGGACCTGACTGAGCAACTAACACTTTCACTTTCTTTCACTTAATACATGTTATAAAAACTACTTAGTAACATAAGAATGGTTTGAAAAGTTAAATGGAAAAAACTAGGGATATCAAATTATCCCCATATTATGATTTTTTTTTAAAGTTACCTAAATAGGGGAAAGAGCAAAGAAACACTGATATGTTAATAGTGAGTGTGCTAGAGTGGTGAATTCTCTTTCTCTATTTTCCAAATTTCTATCGTATGTTACATGACCTTTATGAAAAAAATCACTTAAAAATCAAAATAATTATTAAAATTATGGATCAATCTAATATACCCATGCAGAGTACATAAATATACTTTTTTGGTCCCAACAAAATTTTAAACACATTTGATTATCATTAATAAAAACATATTCATATGAAAATGTATGATAATTGTTTTGTTCACCTGGAAGCACTATATGAAAATTTTTTTCATAAGCTCCTAGCATCTTCCTTTTTCATTTATAAATCTTAAAAGACTATTTAGGAAAATAAAGCTTTGGCCCATAAAAAAAAAAGTATTAATTCACTGAGTAATATCTCCCTGTGGATTTCTACTCTTAGAGAGGTTTCATGGGCAAAAATAAAATTTTATGGCCCAAGAACAACAACAAAATCAAAATTAAGAAAATACAAAATTTTAAAGTCACATGCTTTAAAAAACCCTAAAACTATCTGTATTCAAAACAAGTCATAAAATATGATGTAACCTGACACAAATTTCATGGAACCTGAATCTCACCAGAAAGTGGGTTCTCTGCTACACATGGAATGAATGTAAACTCATTCCATGGTTCTTTGGCCCCTTTCCCTTCATTTAATCAAAACATAATTCCTTTTAAAACCTCAACTTTTTAGCTATTATTTCAAAAGAAAACCAGCATGTATGCTTTCTCTTAACTGTTTATATTTGTTAAAACTGTGGGGAACCGTCAGTGCATTCAGTAAATTCCTTACAGCTGGGTGCTTTTTCTTTCAATAAATCAGAGTCCATTTAATGTTAGATTGAAGGACTACAGTAACAAACATATGTCTTTATGTATTACCTCAACTCATTCAGAATATCCCTAACACGTAATGTTGCAGTATTCTTCATTGAGAACACATTCTGCCAGCCAGGCCAACTGGCAATTGTTTCACAGCTTTTCAGAGAAATATAAAGTATTATGAACAAAGTGTCAAGTAGAATGACTTAAACAAGGCTCCGGAATTCCCACTGGCCTTTATTTAGTTTGAAACGGAGCAGTAGCTCTGAATAAACTCAAAAGGCAGGAGGAAGGGGGAAAGGCCTCATTCTGCCATTGTTCTTTAATGGGTGAAAAATAAGTGTACAGAGCAATTGACACAGCAATCTGAAACAGTCTTAAAACCAAAGGGGTAACTGTAGATGGATTTGCCTTCTACAGACAAACAAAATAAGCTTTTTAACTCAGACATACATAGATATCACTTTTAATAGGACCAGGCCATCCAAACTATTTCAAAATTTTCTTCCAGTTGCTAAGAACACAATATGTTATTTTAGGCAATGCTTTACTATTAATATACGTATAAACTAGTATGTGACGTAGGTGTAGTCAATCTGTGCATATGTATATTTTTTCATCTATAAGCTTCAGAATATACTTATACTACTTTAAGTTGGGTTCACATGGTTAATTTTTAAAATTTTTCTGATAATTCAAATTTCCTTTACCTTGGTGCTAAGTTCTCCTGAAAGAAATGACAAAATTATTCTTGAAAGAAAATTTGGCCCAGTTTAGACATGATTTTCAAAAACAAATCTGGCAAGAAATGAAAACTACACATGGTGGAGTATACATATACACATATAATTTTCTGCAGTGAGCTTTAGAAAGATCAAAACCTCAACAGATCCCTACCTGGTAAGCCTCAAATCCAAAGTTTTCTGGCTGGATTTATGTGCTAATTTCTCTACAGGAGAAATTCCTTTCCCTGGCTGGCTGCACGGTTGACTTTCAACATCTAGGTCTCTGCTCAAATGCCTGCTAACTCTTGGTTATTTGCATGATTATCAAGAGAAAATTGAAAAGTGGGATCCATAAAGACCTGAAGCTTTTAGCTTCTCCCTCACCAGATTTACTAAAAAAGGAAATGGCCAGTTTAATATAATCCTAAAATGATAAGCAATGACAGAGAGAAATGAACAAACAAACAAAGGCTTACAAGGATTCAGAGCCTACCTAACTGAGAAGTGATTATAGTTTGCTAATGTAAACTAGAAATACTACTTTATCTACTTTTCATATGAGTTTTTTCCTATATAAAAATTTCCATTTTTTTTAAATTTCCATTTTTAAATGGGAAGTAAGCATTTTGAAGTTTAAGACCCATAGTTTACATGTAGACTCCTTAAATTTTGAAATACAATGTGAATAAAAATATATACTATTTCTACATAAAATCTTCATTTTAGCTATATAATTACTCTTCTAAAATGAAACGGCAAGTATTCTTTTCCCCCAGGCCTGCATTAGGAAAGTCACACACAGAATCACCTCGACACTGCAGACAGGGTTGCTCAGTAACCCCCGTCCCCCCGAGGCGGTCTCACCTTGCACTTGGGACACTTCTGGGCATTCCTCTGCCCGCGCTCAATCTCGCTGGCCCAGTGGCGCAGCAGTTTGTCCCCTTTCTTGTACTCCTTGCAGTTAACACCTTCATGCCAAGGAGAGTGGCACTTAAAACACCAGACGAATTGGCAAGTGGGGCACTGGATCTGTGTAAGGAAAAGTAACGTTAAGTACTAGTGGATATATTTCAAGTGTCTAAGAAGATAAGAATGGTGATGCTTGGAGAAATTAGCTGAAAGGCTGTAATTGGTCCAAATTTAAAATACCGCCCCCCCTGCCCGCCGCCCCTGGATAAAACCAAAACTATAGTAAGATATGACTATTCTTATATTAAAGGAGGAAAGAATGGCTTTGGCCTGGGTGATCTGGCTGTCTGTAGACCTCAGTAGAATTAAACACTTGGGATGTTTTGGAAATCAATTTGGCCTTAAGAAAAGCCCTCAGATTGAAGCACAGAGGTAAAATCTGAAGGTCAAAATGCCCCGAATCCCCCTCAGGCTACCACCCTTGAACTTGCCTCGCCCTTGAACCAGTTTCCCAGGCATTTCCACTGCTCTTGGCTTCACTCACTTTTATAAAATCAAAGCCCCCCCGCCCAAGCTGTTTCATCAAATAAAAAACACACCAGCAAATGAACCACTACATCAGCATTTGCTATGATAGTGGATATCCCTGGTTTGCTATTCATATAAGGGAGATTAATTATAAAAATTATACAAAGGATCTTACTAGAAAACTGTATGTATGGTGGTCTTGTGGCCTGTACCTAGGAAACTATCAGAAGATGTCTTTGTATGGTCACTATGCAGAGGTGTATAGAATGCATGTGTATGTTTTAAAAATATCTGTCTTCCTCTTGACAAGAAAGACATTTTATCTGACTTCCTGCGTTTTGAATAACAATGGAGTATCCCACTCTCAAACCATATTTCTGGTCCTCACTGTAGAAACATATGGGCAGAACTTGACTTTTCTATCTGTTTGATTAAAGTGATTAATAAAATATCTCACTATAAACAACGATAACTGACTATTCTCTTCATGCTCCTGCTTCTTACTTTACTGGGCATCAGTGAATTTACTGACTATACTTTGAAGATGAGTTAGCAAGTCTTTTGGTAAACTGTACATCATGTCACTACTTTCTTTTTTTTGAAAACAGTGGTTCCAATGTATAGGGTAACTGAATGGCAATTACAGTCAACTCTTCTGTTATAACTCTAAGCACTATAATATTCACCTATGTCAAGAATAAATAATGTTCTTCCTGTGTAAATATGAGTAACAAAAATACTTTTGCTTTTAACTTGATGGCAAAAGAAAACAGCATTTTGTCATCAATTTTTAAAAATCTTCATGTATATTTATTAAAATGCTGTTATATGATAATGTTTATACTGTTGCATTACATGCATTATTTATTTTTATCAACAAACTAATGCTCCAAAGTCAGTATGAACATCATTAAGTTCACAGATGAGGAGACTAATGCTCACAGAGATTAAATAACTTGCCCAGAGAAACATAGCAAGTAAAAAACTGTGACTCCAAGGCCAGCATTCTTTTCATTGTGTTAAAACACTTCCTCATACTGAACAGCATTCTTGCTTTGATGATTGAAAATTAAAATGTCAAAGTTAAAGAAAGTCATGTGGTTAATCTAATCAGTAAATTAGAATTCTATAACACTAAAAATATAAGGTTAATTTTGAAAATCCCTTTCAAGATTTTACGCAGATAAATTAGGAAACCTCTTGTGTTTTTTAAAGAGAGAATTTTTAGTCATTTAAAATAACCATTTTTGCCTTTTCTGATCATTAAAATTAAATTAATTTATTCTTAAAGTAAGAAGAATGAGTCAAAGTAGGTAAACTCCAGGTAATAAAACAATGTAAAATGATCGCTGAAAACAATGAAGAACACATGTAAATATCATATGGGGCCTATATGAATATAGTTTTTTAATATAATGAATGAAATGAGGAAGCAAAAAAGACTCACTTTACCTCTTGCTTCTGCCACTATGAAAGAGGGCCTGAATATTTAATTTAGTTCTCTTCTATTAGACATTATACACAATTCTAAATTACTGAACTCCACCATTGTTAAATTAAAAATAAAAAACCTTGTTGGTTTTTAATGCCAGTCTTAGATTATATTTATGAAACGAATAGCCAAAGAATTACTGTAACATGTGCCTTGAAACTGGGATTAACTCAAAGGATGTCAGACACTATAATGGCTCAAGGATCTTTGTGACTGATGCTGAACTATCTTATCTACAGATCTCTAATGAAGACAGTGAGAAATGTATGGTTCTCCTAAGGTACCAGAATGATAAAGAATCAGGTATTTCATGTCCATCCCAGGATTCTGGCTTCCAGCATCACATAATAAACAACCAAGTTTCATTGCAGATCCTACTGCCAGTCCTCACCAACAACACAGGCTTGGCAGCAAACTGTGAAGGGAGTTTTGCACCAAGTTCTCAAGTGAAAATAAATAGCTTAAATTCAGATTCGCCTGCTTACTGTCCCTCACTGAAAACATGAAAATAACTATTGCCTTTCTTTTGATTCCCTCATAGCTCAGTTGGTAAAGAATCTGCCTGCAATGCAGGAGACCCTGGTTCAATCCCTGGGTTGGGAAGATCCCCTAGAGAAGGGAAAGGCTACCCACTCCAGTATTCTGGCCTGGAGAATTCCATGGACTGGAGTCCATGGGGTCACAAAGAGTCAGACACGAAGTGACTTTCACTTCACTTACTTTGGATTAAAATAATACAAGGACTAACAGGCAATCCCAACCACCTTGTTATTCAAAGACTGCACCTAAATTGTTTAAAGACTGACTTTTTCATTGGACGATGACTTATTCACTCCAACCTTAACCATACTCAAAGTTGGACTCATACGAAACACCTGTAGACATTAACACTGCATCTTCCTCCATACGAAATGCCATCCCATAATCACAGACTTCCCACGTGGAGTGCCTGCCTTCTGAGTAATTATATTCACACACAGGTTGCCGTGCTGGATCCACACTACTCAAAGTGTAGCGCATTACCACCTGGGAGCTTGTGGCCGACAAAAATTCATGTCCCACCCCAGACCTACTAAACCATGGCCTGTGGTTTCACAAGGTCCCCACGTTAAAGTTTGAGACGCACAGCTCCATAGGACGTGACCCCATTGCAGTGGCCACACCTGATCACACCAGGAATGAGTCCCTAAGCTAAAAGCAGGGATCTGCTGGCTGGCAAGCAACCTACGAGGCAGCTGGCAGGATCTTTGTGCAGAGCATGCTCCCTGGTGAACAGAGGATAGCCAAGCCAGATTTTTTTTTCTTGAGGAGCGAAACAGGGATACATACACAAGCACTCTACCTTTGCTATATGGGCAAAGACAGAGAAAACCTGATGACCACAGCACAGATCACAGAGAAGGGAACAATAGACATTCACTTCTAATAACACCACTGAGGGGCTCCCATGCCCCCAGAGCTAGGGTCCAGTTCTCCATGAGGCCCGCAGGGGTGGGTGCAGCTGGGACTGATTTCTTGTCCTTCCTATTTCCCTGCAGCTTTACACTAAAATACATTATGTGATGGAGCTTAAGAGAGATCACAGCCCTGCTTCTCGTAACTGGAAAAAGTCCAATGAACACAATCTATTGAAACCTTTACTGGGTCAAATACTACTTGCTTCAGGATGTCTTGCCTATTTCTCCCAACCAGTTTCGGTATCTCGTAGAATTTACATTAGACATGTAGCTGTCTAATCTCCCTAACAGGCTACAAGTTCACAGAGGGCAAAGGCTGGCTTCTCATTCATTCTGTATTTCCTGAGTTAAGTAACACAGAACTTTTGGCACATGGTAGGTACTTGAATAAGTTCTCTGTAAAATGAATGATTTTGCACAGAGCAAGTATTGCACAATGGCTAACATCACATGAATTCCAAGAAAAACCAACATGTCTAATTTACAACCAGTGGCTGAGATGGTATTATTACCGTCTTAGATTACTGGATGAAGTTTACTAAATATTATATCCACATGACATTTTACAAAACATCATGATTAACGTGTACTTCTACAACAGGCAAGGCTACAAGAATTTTAAAAATCAAGTCATCAGGGACAGGAATCTTCATTAACTCGTTCAATAATCCATGAAAAATAAAAGAACCTTATATTACATTTTTTTACTTTTGACTTTCCTTAGCTTTTCTAGAATCCTGGGCTACAATGACACTCTAAGGACAAATTAAACCAACCCACCTGCCCTAAGCAAATGGTATTTTCTCTTAACAGTTCATCATGCCAATAAAGAAATAACCCACAAAATAAATACAAAATTCAAAACCAAAGAGCATCCTAGAAAAGTTTTTTCTTGATGAACTACTATACAGTCCTATATACATAATTATTTTAAGTAAATCACAAAATCCTTACTTATCAAACTCAAAATATTAGACAACGTCCATGTATAAATGTAGCATGGACAATATGAATTAACTTGGTTTTCCAAGAAGAATTTGCTTTATTGTTAACAGAACTTCAGATTAAGACAAATACTTGCTCTCTTTCCCTGCCGCCGCGGAGCCGCGCGGAGGCGGAGGCTCGGGTGCATTCAAGATTCGGCTCCACCCGTAACCCACTGCCATGGCCGAGGAAGGCAGTGCTGCTGGAGGTGTAATGGACATTAATACTGCTCTGCAAGAGGTGCTGAAGACCGCCCTCATCCACGATGGCTTAGCACGTGGAATTCGCGAAGCCGCGAAAGCTTTAGACAAGCGCCAGGCCCATCTGTGTGTGCTTGCATCCACCTGTGATGAGCCTATGCATGTCAAGTTGGTGGAGGCCCTTTGTGCTGAGCATCAGATCAACCTGATTAAGGTTGATGACAACAAGAAACTAGGGGAATGGGTAGGCCTCTGTAAAATTGACAGAGAGGGAAAACCCCGTAAAGTGGTTGGTTGCAGTTGTGTGGTAGTTAAGGACTATGGCAAAGAATCTCAGGCCAAGGATGTCATCGAGGAGTACTTCAAATGCAAGAAATGGTGAAATAAAAAACTGAGCTCTTGTTTTTCCAAAAAAAAAAAAAAAAGACAAATACTCAATAATGAAACACTCATCAATTC